TTTTTCTCTTTTTTCTTTTTTGCCAGGGAAAAAAAACAAAACAATTTGTTGAAAGATTTGTGTATTCAGCAGGAAGCAGTGGGATTGCCAAAGATAATCATAGGAGTGCCTGAGCTAGAGAGAGCCAGAAAGCACTGAGCAAATCTAGAATAATGCCAGATGTCCCAATTAATTTTATGACTTTTTTTTTTAAACCAAATATTCATCTGTTGTTTAAGATACAGAAAACCTACAGACAAGGTAAACAGCAATGACATCATCTTTCTTGCAGATTTTTAAGTTTTTGTTTTCTTTAAAAGGGTACAGTTTATAAAATCGCGCCACTAGATGTCAGAAGATTGCAGATCGCAGAGTTTCTTCTATATTTCCTAGCTATGGTGGCTGCCGTGAGACAAAAAGTCTTACAGCTGTTTATCTCTAGTGAATGTAGACCGGCAGTCCGCTGTTTACCTCAGATGGTGTTCACGTCTATTTACTTTGGAGGAGGACGAAAAACTGATATGAGTGGATGAGTCAGTGAAGCTCACCCCTGCAAGTGACAGCAATACTGAGTTGAGCTGTTGAGGATATCCTGTGCTTTTCTCTCAAAGCGCTACTGTTTTTGTTGCTAATAGCTGCTGTTAGCCTCTGTTAGCCTCTGTTAGCTGCTGTTAGCCTCAGTTAGCGGCTGTTAGCCTCTGTTAGCTGCTGTTAGCCTCTGTTAGCTGCTGTTAGCCTCAGTTAGCGGCTGTTAGCTTCTATTAGCAAAACTTTCTTTAAAATCTCCCAAACATTGCTGGACTTGGACAGACAATAAATTCTCACACAATGTGAGAATGTAATGTATTTATTTATTTTTTTTATCAGAGTGAAAGATTGATTTTTAGGATAAAAACATGTTACCCTATAACTGGCTGTTGGTACTGCCAGTTGTCAGCTGTCTAAAGACGAGCGGGTCTAATGTGCTGACAATAAGTAATTGTGACAGTATTGGGAATAAATATTCATGTTTATGCACGTTTTTATTTGTTAGAGCCCTGACTTGAGTTCAGGAGATGAAGTGGATGATTAGGTGGAACTGTGACGTGCATCTCAGCCAGTATTTTCAAGATGGTGGGGGAATGTGATGGCTTCCACAAACAGACACCCGCTCCTTTTTATATTTAGTGGATTAATTCTAAGTTTATGAGAAAATGCATCAGTTTGTTGGATAATATAATTCCACAGTAATCAATGTATATTTGTGAGTCTGTTTTTCGATGAAATAACCTCAAAAAATGAATGAATGTACATTTAAAGGTTATTTTCTACATGTTTTCCTATTAAATATTGTGGGAAGTAAAGACTTAAATCTATTTACGCTTCTAAAAATTGGCACCAGAATTAAGATTTAATAATAGTCAGATACCACGTTACATTCACCCACCTCATACTAGTTAAATATTGACACT